GCTTGTCTGTTCAACCAATAATCTGCTTAGTACTGTGATCGTTGAGATATGCATATCTGAGAGAGAGGGAAAAAGAAGTCCACGTTGTTGATGATCACTTAAGATTTTTCAAAATAATGAAAAACTAAGTGTGAAAATATAAAAAAAAAAAGGAGTCGCCACTCGTCCATTACAAGGTGGGACAAGTCACCTAAAATGGATTTACGCAGAGATCGGAATTCGAGGATTCGGTTAGGAGTGAGAAAGGACATACACGCACCTCACAATCCTCCGTTTAAACACGGTTGCATACTTTAACATTGGGGGGTTTGATTCAACTTATTTATTACATTTATATTTGAGTCTTTAATAAGTAAACTTGAAAAAAGAGATAAACCGAATCAAAACATTTTTTTTATTTTTGGACTAAAATAGACAAAATCAAGAACATGCATGCACAATGAACACAAGTAAAAATTAAAGGGACTGATTTGATTAAAATAAAGGACTGATTTGAAAAGGTTTAAAACTTTTGGACTAAAGTGCTTGAACATGAAAGGATTGTGCAAAATTGAAATAAAAGAAATAACTTTTGATTTTTTTTTATTTTTTAACCTTTTTAGTTTTTTTTTTTTATTGGATTGGGTCGGGTGGATCCAACCCAAAAACACGAACCCACAAACCAAAGTGGGCAAAAACAGATTAAACACCCAGTAAAAAAAAAAAAGTCTTCTCCATCAATCACAAAAGGACACTCTTCACAAAAAAAAAATCACATTTTTACTAACAACAAGGAAAGAGCACATTCATCAGACAAAACGAACTAGGCAATCTTTGCTTTCTCATTCATTTTTAACTGAAAATACACATGCTTAACATCTTAACCATAAATAAAAGTCAACAGAAACAAGCAAATAAACAAACATGACGGATTTTTTTAGGAACAACAGATTTGGATTTGATGGAAGGAACCCCACCCACGGGGTCAAGCTTCCATCATCTCCTTCACCATTTTTTCCTAACAAAATCCTCTGTTTCAAAGCTGTACCTAGGATGAAAACCCAGAAAATGGACAACCTCCTTCGGTGAGTTCTGGAAGCTCGACGATCCTCTTTTTCTTACTGCCAGCAATACCCAAACTCCAGAACCACAAGAGACAAGAGAAAAACCCTTCCCTCTTTCGGACTTCTATAAAAAATGAAACACACAAAAAGGACAACCACCCCTTTCTCCTCTCAACTAAACCCCTCCTCTTCTCGGAATTTCCCTTTACTGCTCTCAAAAAAAAACAAACAGAGACTTCCAAATCAACTCCGAAAATCAACCACAGACCCCCCCCAAAATCAACTCCAAACTTCAACCAAAGCAAACACCAAAACTCCACAATCAACCCCCCCAGCCCCCTTATCAACCAAGAACACCCTCTATTTATACCCACACTGCAGAAAAACGAGACAAGGGGAACAGACCATCAAAGCGGGTGCAAGATCGGGTTACAGCGGTAATGAGTGCGGGATCGGCTGGCGATTCGTTCGGGGAAGAGGCAGGTGATGAGTGCATATAGGCGCAGCCAAGCAGGCAGCAAGCAAAAGGGGGGTAATGAGTGCAGGGGTTCGGGTGCAGAAAGGGGCAGGCGGCCAAGGGGCTGATTCGGTGCAGCAGCAGAGGTGCAGGTGTGGCAGGGGGTAGGGTAGAGCAAGGCCGGGCGTGCGAGGGGCGATGATGGCTCGGGCGTGCAGAGCTGGTGCAGCAGGCGGGCAAAAGCGGCTGGGTTGGTGCAGAGCAAAAGTGTAGGCGTGCAGGGGTAGGGCGTGTAGGCGTGTGGTAGGTATGATTGCTTGTGTGCAGAGGGGAGAGCAGGCGCAGTGTGCAGGGGTGGGCGTAGGGCGCGGTGATAGCTGCCGGTTGGTTTGGGAAGGAGGTTGGTTCCAGAGGAAGGAAAGACTGATGGGGAAGGAGAAGGTTCCAGACGCCTTCCCTTTTTCCTTTTTTTTTTTCTTTATAATTTTTGGGTTTGGGTTAAATGGGTTTTGGGATTTTGGGTTTTTTTTTGGATAATTGGGTTTGGGTAGTTGGTGGGTTTTTGTGTTTTTTGGGTAATTGGATTTGAATTTGGGTTTTGGTTTGGGTTTGATGGGTGTTGGGCTGGACTTTGCATTTCACCCCTCCAATTTTTCATTTCTTCAATTTAGTCCTTTTTCTCATCTTCTTTTCCAATCTTCTTCGTGAAATTTCCTTTTTGCGCCCTCATTTTTTTCTTTGAATGAACCTAACAAGTAAAATAAAGACAAACATATTAGTTAAAATAAAAATAAAAATAATATAATATTTTACTAAAATTTGAGTTATGACACACATTAAAATGGTTTTACAAAAAATTCATGTTCAAATTGTGAGCAAATTGTAAATCTGATCAATAATAACCAAGGTTAAAAGAGTTATCTGT